AGACCGACGCGTTACCCATAGGAGGGCTAACCTTCCTATGGTGTATAAATATACCCAGTTGGATGAATGTCATTGTGGGTAGCTGGACCAGTGGCTAACGCGTCGGTCTCGAGTTCTGAGACTCTCTGACCGCGGATTCTAACCCCGCCCAAGGTGTGGTTTATTGTGGCAACGTTGCGCTCTCCAGATGCTTTATAAAGCTGTTACAATGTGGAAAAAGACACGTCCAGTTCCTGAAGTGTAAATAAATACCTCTTTCCACATCGTGTCAGTATCACCATACAATATCTACTACTACTACCCTGCACCTCTCCTTCCGACAGTATTTAAGTCTCCGCACTGTCGCTTGATCTTCAGATAGTTCCTGACTATGGAACTGAACTTCTCCAGGCCGAGGGACTGACAACCTCAAATTCTACGACTTTAAGGGTGATGGACTGATTACATCGTCTTCACATCTCTACTGTTCCTGCCTACTTTCTGTATTCGACTGAAGAAGCCTACTGTGTAGGCGAAACGTTTCGGAATAAAGTTGTCTAACTGTTGCATATGTGTCTTACCTAACAATATGAGGATAAAATCCTGGAGAACGGAACGTTGCCACGATAAAATGTCAAATTAGTTGTATCTGTGTCCTTTTTTACCTAACATATTGTCTGTAATTCTACCATTATTACTAGGTAAATCTTGTTAGTTCTTGCTATAATCATGTAAAATATTATATAGAAATATCCAATCATTGGTTCACTTGGAAACCTCAAGTAACATAACCTATGTAACATCTGACACTATATATACAAGTAAATATATACAAGTAAATAGTTAAGAATATCTCACTATTGTGATAATGGTACATTGGTCATTTAAAATTATGCCCAAAATACATATATAAGCAGGTAGACACATATGGTTACATGGAACAAAAATGTCTAATGGTATGACTCCATTCCCTTCCTAATGGCGCTATTCCTCCCAAACAACACAATCCACAACCTAACCTTTAACGCTGTCACCAACCTTAACAACCAAGTCAGTAATTAACGTTAATTAACGTATCATAATACGTTTGTAACGTCATAAACACAATCATTGTATATTAGCACCTAAAAACACGCTACCTACATGAACATGTCAATAACAAAAGTTTATATATTGTTTTGCTACATACATACACCTCTGCAGGGCAGTTTATTTACATCTGCCAGAGATTAACTGCATCCTTAATAGGCCTGAGCTTGCTATCACCTGCAGTTCATAAGACTGCCATCCCCACGAGCCCCTTTGTGGCGGGGCAAATGGCAGACCAGAAGCCTAGCTTCTCCCTACGAGCCCCTTGAGGGCGGGGACTGTGGCTAGGCCTGGGGACACTTGGTTCCAAAGATGAGGGGGTACTTGTACCTCCTCCGATGGGAGACTTAGGTCTCGAGACACTCCCCAGACAGGGAGCCAAGGCCGGGTCACCACTCTTGGAAAAGACCCGGGCCGGGAGAATACCGGCGAATAAAAAAAAAAAAACTTTGCCATTATAAGTACAGGACTGTAACCATTACGGACTAATGAATAGATTACGGGTTTAAGGCTCTCACGTTTTGTTTTTAATGATATCCTCATAAGTTTTACTGCTACTGTGGGAGAAGTCATCCTGGAAGAGTGCAGTTTTCTCGTAATAGTAACTCCAGCTCTCCTGGTGAGAAATCATTGAAGCTGCCACAAGTGTTGCACCCATAGTGTTCCAGGTTAAGCTGATCTAGCCTTAACTACTTCATGCATGAAAGTCTTCCTGTATCATGGAAAATAACATTGTGTAATTATCACATAAACTGGTGCATATTGATGTGTTCAACTGCATTATTACTAACTAGGTATTCAGTGACACCAGTGGAAATAAATCACCTCGCCTAACTTTTTGGCTATTCTAGGTAATTTACATTGTGTACGGTAATTGTACTTGTGTGTACGTGTGCCTAAATAAACTTAGACACTAAAATAAATGTGTTTGCATTTTTAAAGTTCCAGTTCTAGTTATAATAGTCCTATAATAACAAGTTTATTCTTTTCTCTGAGGACGAGGGTCCCCAGCACAGTTCTAGAGGTGGTACCTCCCTATATATATATATATATATATATATATATATATATATATATATATATATATATATATATATATATATATATATATATGCAAAACAACCACTGTGAGAGTAGTGAAATTCCAAGCGCTTTCGTGACTACTCACATTGTCAAGGAACTATATGATAGTTCCTTGACAATGTGAGTAGTCACGAAAGCGCTTGGAATTTCATTACTCTTTCACAGTGGTTGTTTTGCATATTTTAAAATCATCTGTTTACTGTGATCTTGATCTTATTGTATATATATATATATAATATATATATATATATATATATATATATATATATATATATATATATATATATATATATATATATATATAAATTAATCTTACTCTTGTGAATCGTAAAATTCAAGGGGAACATTGGCAAACTCTTTATAATTTATAGGCTTTCTTGGCTACAGTGCAGCTTTATCCTAATCACTAGTTGAGTCATGATTATGCAGGTGTCGTCACTACTGGAGTGTGCAGCAGTGTGTTCCCAGGTGTCAGGTGTAGGCTACAACATGGAGCTTCCTGCTGGTGTACCACAGAACTGTCTCGTCCTGGCCACACACACCAACATCACCGCTAATGGCAACTATACCTTCTATTGTGGGGGTAATTATACACATTATATAAGATTCTAAGATTTATTTCCATAATTTTTAAAGGGGTTGACCGATAAGCCAGTGGAAGGCCTCGGTCAGATCACCAGAAGCTCCAGCTGAGGGTCATAATATACAATTCAACTTTATTTCTTTTCTTCAGCATACAAAATATAATTTACTTTTAATAAAATATTGTTAAACACAAAATACTAATATGCGATGCACTTCGGGCAGACTAAGACCAGCGTCAGGACACACTTGTCCTGTTTATCGACAAGCCTTACCTAATATAAATTGTACACCTGTGTATTGTAAATTGTCTCTGTGTATATACAATTATACATTTAATGTCTGATTTAGGGATGTATATGACTGTTAGTGAGCAGCATACATACATCCTTAATGACCATTATGTAGCCGATAAGTTTTAAGTCTCATTAACCAACCAACTGCATCCAGTAACGTGGCAAGTCTTCCAGAGTAATCATTCTGATAGTAAACTGTAATACCATTCATCCACTGACCAACCCATCTCCTGGGTCTTATACTGACCACCCCACCTCATGTGTCTTCCACTGACCACCCCACCTCCTGGGTCTTATACTGACCACCCCACCTCATGTGTCTTCCACTGACCACCCCACCTCCTGGGTTTTATACTACCACCCCACCTAGGTCTTCCACTGATCACTACACCTCCTGGGTCTTATACTGACAACCCCACCTCCTGGGTCTTATACTGACCACCCCACCTCCTGGGTTTTATACTACCACCCCACCTAGGTCTTCCACTGATCACTACACCTCCTGGGTCTTATACTGACAACCCCACCTCCTGGGTTTTATACTACCACCCCACCTAGGTCTTCCACTGATCACTACACCTCCTGGGTCTTATACTGACAACCCCACCTCCTGGGTCTTATACTGACCACCCCACCTCCTGGGTTTTATACTACCACCCCACCTAGGTCTTCCACTGATCACTACACCTCCTGGGTCTTATACTGACAACCCCACCTCCTGGGTCTTATACTGACCACCCCACCTCCTGGGTTTTATACTGACCACCCCACCTCCTGTGTCTTCCACTGACCACCCCACCTCCTGGGTTTTATACTGACCACCCCACCTCATGTGTCTTCCACTGACCACCCCACCTCCTGGGTCTTATACTGACCACCCCACCTCATGTGTCTTCCACTGACCACCCCACCTCCTGGGTTTTATACTACCACCCCACCTAGGTCTTCCACTGATCACTACACCTCCTGGGTCTTATACTGACCACCCCACCTCCTGGGTCATATACTGACCACCCCACTTGGGTCTTCCACTGATCACTACACCTCCTGGGTCTTATACTGACAACCCCACCTCCTGGGTCTTATACTGACCACCCCACCTCCTGGGTTTTATACTGACCACCCCACCTCCTGTGTCTTCCACTGACCACCCCACCTCCAGGGTCTTATACTGACCACCCCACCTCCTGGGTCTTATACTGACCACCTCCTGGGTCTTTCACTGATCACCCCACCTCCTGGGTCTTCCTCTGACCACCCCACCTCTCTACCTCCCTAAACTTCCACTGATCACTACCCTTGTTACACAGACTGTAAGACTCTGGGTGAATCTTGCAGCCTTACTTCGGACTGCACAACACTGGTACCTGTGGCTGTGTGCACAGGCGGTGTGTGCTCCTGCCCAGCAGGCTACAGTGCTTCAGGAATGAGTTGTGTTATAGGTATGTATGTATATAATGTGTGGTAACTTATTCCAAGAAACGTTTTATAGTGTAAGCATAAGGATCCCTTAATATAACCGCTTGCATAAATACTTGTATGTAATATTTGACATTTTGGACAGATTTATGTAGTTACAGAGTAGATAATAAACTTAGGAGATAATAACATCGTTATAAGACCTAGGATAGTTAGAAATAGATCAAAATATAAAAGTATAGATAGCCAGTGATTCAAAATTCGAACTAAAAGTCAGAATTTGCTGGCTAGTTCAGTTGATACTCAGTCACGACCCTGAGTGGACACGACGAGTGTACAGCCAGAAAACTTGCATTAATACACTTAGGGAAACATGATAACCTTGAGCAGTTTCCCAAAGTATAGTTTACTCGTCCCTATCAGGCCCTCTCGCAGTAAGGCGAAATCTACAATTCCTAGCAGTTAGTCGGCCGACGTTTTCGGGGAACGAAGTAGGTAGCTAATGTGTGGGTGAGTGTTACTGGACACTCGGAGATTGAAGTTCATCTCCTTATGTGGTGTACAGAGGGTCAGAGATTATCGAACTCAATACCACCAAGTGAGTTAATTCTACGTTTTGTACATTCTCACGTTAGCAGCAGTATTTGGAAGTTATTACAAGAGCCATTTGTAAGCCTGGGAGAATCAACTCGGGGCGTCTGCGTCAGGAGCACTTAGTTAACTTTTCAGCTTACAAAGGGGCAGCACGCATAGAAATTTCCGAAATTTTTATTATCATGACATTCCAAGGGTTTCTAGCCCGTGATAGTTATTCGGCAAGTTTACTATATAATCAAAAGAATTCATTAATAACAGTTCATACAATATCCAAAATTTTAAGTCGCAGCAAATACTGACAAAAGAGAAAATCTTCCCGTTCTTAAGGAATGAAAATTGGTAACTGGATTCTGAGCCAGGCACTCAGGTTGTTTAACCTCCCGTCACCATGTTGCAAAATGTTTGTGTTGATCATATTCTCTGCTCTCAGATCCTGTGCCTTTGGGTCATTCCTGCTTTGTGGATGCCCAGTGTCAAGCAGTGGTACAAAACACTACGTGTCAGACAGTGTGTGTCTGCGCTACTCACTTCGTTATCAACGCTACAGCAAACGGTTGCAACTTCGGTAAGAACAGTTTATTCCCTCTGGTGCCTTTTTCTTACTTTAAGGTATTGACTAATATCACTTGTAAGTGGTCTTAATGCAGCCACATTGAATAAGGTGACAGGTATCTTCCGAAACGTTTCGCTCACACAGTAGGCTGAATGGACTGAATTTTTTTTTTTTTTTTATATTTTATTTAAAACCAACAATAGACAATAGACTAAAGGAAAAACCCTAAAGATGACAATATATGAACAAATAACTGAAAAAACGTTACATTAGATATTGAAACATTAACGAATAACATTACAATATAACAAATATGACCACTATTACCTACATATAAAATCAGATACCGAAGCTTAAAATTGTCCTATACTAGCTACATGTGGATAAGGTAACTTTCGCAAAAACATGCAAACCTATATTAACTTCCTCAAATTAATCATCCTTGCTCTTAATTTACACTAGAATAATAAAATACAAGTATAATAAAGAGCAGTTTGAATCAAAGAACATTTCACAATTATCATAAATTTACCCTAACCTAAGCCTAATATTTCATCTGTATTATAAATGTCTAATCAACACGAAAATTTTACCACATTCCCCTAACCATATTTGTTGGTGTACATGATACAACCTTGTATTACCATCAAGAGAAAAAAAAAAAGAACAAAAAAGGAAAACCCACTCTTCACCTTTAAAATCAGACTTCAATTTACCATACATGTACATACATATAAATAAGTATATAAAGTATGTTGTCTAAGTGAACACAATCACTTACAACGTCAGTTATAATATTCCGTCAACTCAACCATGAATAACTTCATCCAATTCTTACAACTTCAAGGGTTCGTAAAACTCTTAAACTACATACTTCTATTGGCACCAAATCAATTGTGCTTACAAAAATACAATTGTAAATTAAACTGGAACATAAAAAGCCATTTTGACATTTACACATTGTATCAAAATCATAAATGCGCATAGAAAATATGTATTGTATATCATTGAAAATGTTCATGAGAAAAACCATTAAAGATATATACAAGTAAACATACATACAATACATACAGATACATACATATACATATATATATACATATACATATATATATACACATACATACACATACACATACATACACAAATACACACATACAACACATGCATATATATACACACATACATAGTTATAAGTCGATAATTCCAAATATAACTGTATTGTACTTGAAACACTCAGAACAAATAATGTTAAAATTGCACCCGGGACATACCTCATATAACATTCATCAAACTCATCACGCTACCGACCATTCTAGGAAACCAGCCCATTTCATCCCCCTTACCTGCCTTTCAACTCCCGTAAATCCCGTAAAGTGAAATTCCTATAACCCTCACTTAAATCCCTCTCCCATCTCCCCCCATACACCTCCTTATTTCTACACTTTGTCCTATAAAAAGTTGCTGTTAATGCATTAATTCTTTCACACACGTTCGCTCCTCTCATAGCCCAAGACATATAAATATAATCCGTAATTATATACCCTACCGCATTCTCTACCATCTGATTCACCCCACCTATGTCTAAGCTTAAAACCCTCAACACCTGCAAACCCCCCCCTCCCACTAACCTTATTACCTTACCCAACCAAACCCTTATTAGTTCAATACATTCGCAAAAATACACTATATGGAAAACAGTCTCCCATCCACCACAAGCCTTGCATATCCCATCCTCCCGTATTCTCTTATGGAATAAAACCATTCCAGACGGTAAGATCCCATGTAAAAATCTATACATTACTTCTCGTACTTTAGGTTTTAAACGTAATTTGTTCAAACGCCCCCAGATATTACGCCAATCATACATCGGATAAACACCTTCTACCACTGCTACCACTGCCTTACCTTCCACCCCATCAAGGTTTCCAATTTAATATGTGAAGGATCGCTCATGTTTATGATGACCCGTAACATTGCCTCACCTATTATGAACTCCCTACCCACCCACCACCGTTGCATATCCTGACGTATCTTATGAAGTCCGCCTTCCCTCGCCCCCCCCTCCCGCTTATAACTACGTTTCAAATACACACTCATAATCCTCTTTTCAACAGCTATAAGACCCAGCCCTCCACGGCCAACCGGGAGTGTGACAACCGCTCTACCTAACCATTCGCTTCCAGTACCCCAAATGAATCTAAAAACGCGCTTTTGTAACCTTTGTATCTCACTACGAAGTATCGGATATATTGCTGCTACATGCCAAAGTTTACTATATAATAGGACATTCGTTGTAATTACTCTTTGATGCAAAGTTAAGTGTGCAGCTCGTAAACCACTGAGGCGCTTCAGTACACCATCTACAATACGCACTGAATTATTTTGTTGTGCTAACTTGATATCACTTACATAAACGATCCCACATATCAGTAATTGGTCCACCTTTTTCCACCTTTCAACTACTTCACATTCCTCACTTAACCTATCTCCAAGATCCATATACTTCGTTTTCTCCCTATTAATTGACATGCCAGAAGCCTTTTCAAAAACATTTACTAACTTTTCCACCCGAGGCAAATCCCTGTTACCACTTACTAAAATCGTTGTGTCATCAACATATCCAACAATGCCAGCCCCCCCACCCCTTTCGTCACCAACCCCATTTGCTGCCAATAAGGCCCTAATTCCTCTATAAAAGGGATCCTGTAAACACGCAAAAAAAATTTGTGAAAGGGGACAACCTTGACGTAGACCCCTGCTCATCTGAATTTGTTCTCCTAACCTTCCATTTACCTGCACCCGCAAGGATGCATCTTGATACATTAATTTGGCCCATGATATAATTTCCTCTCCAAACCCCTGCCATCTCATAATCTTCCATAACGCTTCCCTTTCTACACTATCATATGCCGCCTCCCAATCTATAGCCAACACCCCCCCCACTCCCAATTTTACTCTTTCTTCAATAAAACTTCTAATCAAACCATGCCCGTCATACATAGACCTTCCCGGCACCCCATATTGTCCCTTATCGATCACTTTACCCAGGACCTTTTTTATTCTGTTAGCTAAAATTCTTGCAAAAATCTTATAATCACCACACAATAACGAAATAGCACGATAGTCTAACTGTTAATGGCTCACCTTTAGGCACTAAAACGACCACAGCCATCCGCTGCTGTGCCCCTAAAACCCGATCCCGCTTAATGATATTGAATAATCTTACCAAAAATTCTTTTAAAACGCTCCAATTTTGGAGATAAAAGTCACTGGGCAACCCATCAATTCCTGGTGCCTTTCCTAATTGCGCCCCGGATAAAGCTACCCATGTCTCGCACTCCGTTATCGGCCCTTCCAAAACGAATCGATCATGCTCTGTCAACTCACACTGCACAAACCTTCCAATTGACTGTAATGCTATTTCACTTATTCCCACACTTTGCGTTTTCAACTTAACCCAAGCATCAATATACCCACTCATACCCTCAGTCGTCGTCAACACCTGGTCCACTTTATACCCTTGCATACCTACCTGAACATTCAACCCCATTAACTCCATTGCCTTGCGACGTGTGTGTTGACTCCGCAACACACACGCCGACGGCCGATCTCCCCACAAAACCTCCTCAATCCCGCCCTTAAGCCTTTCCCCATCAAACCTCTCATTTTGTAAATTCCGGATATTTTCCTTCAAACTTTCAATTTCAATAACAGGATAATTAGCATTAATTTGTGCATAACAGTCGCGCAACTGCCCCTCTAAATATTTTTGAAAACCGTATTGTAACTGATTATATCTCTTCCCTCGATTAATATAATATTCCTTAATACGTTTTTTTGCTATTGTTTCCCACCAATTAACCATGGCACCATCCCCTGGTGCTTCTACCACTAAACGATCCCACATATGTCCAAAAGACAAAAGACTATCCTCTTCCTTTAATAACTTTACATTCAATTTCCAAAATGATGGACCCCTCCGAGGCACACCCTCAATATCCACATCTATTACCACTCCTCTATGATCCGAAAAAACCACATCTATCACATCCACCCTCCGCACAGTAACCGCACTAGGCACGTACATTCGGTCCAACCTCGCCGCATAACCTCGTTTAATGAAGGTATGCTCTACCATCCCTCCCCCCCCACACACATCCTTTAACCCCACCCCGGTCAATATATCCCCCAATATACCCAAACAACACCCCGCACCTCTGGGCTCCACATCTTTATGACGTATCACGCAATTCCAATCTCCGCCTATTATTGCAACATTCGGTAAACCACGTAAAAAATAGACCAGCACGTCCCGAACAAATTTAGTTTTAATACTCACGTCACCCTCAGCCGGACCATATACACATACTAAACTAATGGGAACCCTACCCCAAGTTCCATCCACCCTAATTACCCTCCCCTCCCCCCCTTCACTACGCCTTACTATAAACGGGCTAGTTTCCTTTACCAAAATGGCAGCCCCACCTTTCAAACGTGTCGCATGTTCCATGTACACATTATAACCACTCATATCCAACTCATAACCAGGCCTAAAATTATGTTCCTGTAAGAATACCACATCCACGCCAAGTCGCACCAAATACTCATTAAACCACTTAAGCTTCCTCTCAGCTCTCAACCCGTTAATATTTATAGTAAAACACTTGAATTCAACAAATGGGTTTTCCTTTTGTCCCCGGCATTGACTTTACCCCAGTTCGTTTTGCAACACCTCTGTCCCTCCCCCCTTTGTTGGGAATCACCTTTGCATTCCCTTGATCCTTGGTTTCACCATTCCCTCTCTTCTGTACCTCCACCCAAGACTTTTTCCCAGGGCGTTGGGCAGGAGTTAGCACATCATCAGAATCCGATGATGCTGCAGTCCTCTTTCGTGTCCCTCCCTCCACCTGCATTTTGACATCTGAAGCACCTTCCTGATGCACCTCCACCTCTACTGCATGCACCTTCAATCCTGTAGACTCTCTCGTCGACAAACCGTCATCTTCTGCCATACCATCATTCACAGCCTTCCCCAGAACTGAGCCTGGATCTTCCACCTGATCTAGGACCGATTCCTCTAACAAGTCATCCAACGCCTTTACCAAAGACGCCGCCACTTCTTCACCCATATTAGGTAGTCTCTCCTCAAAAACCTTATGTATGTCCAAAGACTGAGATTCTCCTTGTAGCGTTACAACTGGCGATTCAAGCTCCTTTTCTTTGTCTACCTCCTCACTCCATGACAACCGTTGTTGGGGCGGTGTAGCAAGAGACTGTTCTCGCTCATCGCCAACCTCGTCCACTGGCTGCTGTTGCTGCTGTTGCTGTTGCTGCTGTTGCTGTTGCTGCTGTTGCCGTTGCTGTTGTGCCGGGTACCCACTTCGTTTCTCACACTGCGCCGCGATGTGGTCATATGACCCACATAGCCGACACGTACGTTGTTGCCCCGCATACGTTACATAGACTTGAGTCCTTAATTCTTTCAACACAATATATGAAGGAATAGGGTGCCGAAGAGTCATTTTAACTGTATACGCGCCTTCCAGCGCACCTGCATACGGTCCAGTTGCCCATCTCCCTGCTGTGGCTACGTGAACCGTCCCATAAGTACGCAGTTCACTGGTAATATCAAAATCAGTCGCCTCAAAAGGCACATTCCTGATTTTCACCCAGGTGTAGTGTCGAGATACATCATGAAGTCTCACCGACACAGCTGTATTAACCTGTATGATGGTCTCCTGATACTTGTCGACCACTGCCTCGTAGACTTGTGCAGACGTCATCTTAACGAAGATTCTTGTCATTCCATTTAATGCGACACCACATATCTCCTCATTTGCTATACCATAGGTATCGCGAATGATCGCTGGTAATAATAAATCCATGTTGGATCCTGTGACAGCACCACGGATCATCTCAATGCAGACAGTGTTGATTCTTCTTCTGCTATTCAGCGCCATGTTGGAGAAAATAAAGTTTCCACCAACCAACGCTAGGGGCAGCTCAATCAGGTAAACTGCGCAAAACAAACTCAAACAGGAGCGTCTGCGCAGCTCGTCCACACGGCTCGGAGGCGATGAGGACAATGGTATTGACTAATATCACTTGTAAGTGGTCTTAATGCAGCCACATTGAATAAGGTGACAGGTATCTTCCGAAACGTTTCGCTCACACAGTAGGCTGAATGGACTGAATTTAGAAGACTATAGAGGACAGTCATATGATCAACAACAATGGCTGATATTCAGAATCTAATTTGATCAGAATACGTTGGATATTTTTGTCCGGCTCTAACAACCTCTCGCTCAGTTTGGTTGGTGTTCGTGATGATCGTATATGTCCAAGCAGTAACTTTGGTACTATAGAACGCTTGTTTGGCTTTTCTTCATGTTCATCTCACCCATGGAGAGTTCTTAAAGACTATTAATATTACACTGAAGTGTTATTCTGGTACTAGATTTGTTTATTTATTTATTTTATGTCTTTGCAAACAGTACATTGAGATTTTATATTTACAATAGTGGGTTGCAATACAAAGAGAGCCTCTATTATGCCTGGGCATTATGGGCCAACTTAACATTATTGGCTTACAGACTACTTAACACTAAGGAGTATATCATAGTTGTACAGTAGGATAGTAATTATTTCATAGTTGAACAGTAGATTATTAATTATAAGTGAATTAAAATTTGTATAAGACAAAGATATATTTATATTCGAAAATGTTTTTTGTGAAAACAATGATTCAATTATATTCCTGTCAACAATGGATAAAAGGTTCAAAGTGATTGTTGAAGTTATGATGTGGGAGTACATAGGTGAGTAAGTGTGTACTGAGTATTTAGCATTTAGTCTAGGGTGATTAAGTGGCTTTTGAGAAGAGTTAAATTGATTTTCAGACTGAGTTACTTTAATATCTTTTGGTAATTAATTCCATATTTTGGGGCCCTTTATGTGCATAGAGTTTTTACACAGTGCGATATGGACACGAGGTATATCAAAAAGAGCTCTGTGTCTTGTGTTGTGGTCATGTGTCCTGTTTAGGTTGGTGAGGAGAAGTTTGAGTGGAGGGTTTATATTTGCATGTATTGTTCTGTGTATGTAGTAGGCACATGAATAAGTATGGATGTTCTTAATGGTGAGCAGATTCAGACTTTTGAAAATTGGTGGAGTATGCTGGCGGGAGTGGGAATTCTTACTGCTACCTTTTGCTGGGTTATTAGGGGTTTTAGGTGATTGGATGTTGTTGATCCCCATGCACAAATTCCATATGTAAGATAAGGGTATATGAGTGAATGGTACAGTGCCAGGAGAGCTGATTGTGGAATGTAGTACTTTATCTTTGATAGTATGCCTACAGTCTTGGAGATTTTCTTGGTGATATTGTTGTATGTGTGTCCGGAACTTAAAGCTACTGTCAAGGTGGATACCTAGGAATTTTCCCTCTGTGAGTCTTGTGACTGATGATCCATTTACCGTTATGTTAATTGGATCATTTCCAGCTTTGTTTCCAAACTGAATGAAATAGGTTTTATCAGTGTTCAGGGTAAGTTTGTTAGTCATCATCCAGGCAGATATTTTCTGTAATTCAGCATTGACTGTGTTTGCTAGTATGACTGTGTTTGGGTGGGAAAAGACATGTAGTGTCATCTGCAAATAATATTGGTTTGAGTAGCTGTGATGCATTCGTAATCATTGATGTAGATGAGAAAAAGGAGTGGTCCAAGGACGCTTCCTTGTGGGACTCCTACTGTGATTGGTTGGGTGGAAGAGTTTGCATTATTTGCATACACATATTGAGTTTTGTTACTAACGTATGATTTTAGGTAGTTGAGGGAGTGGCCTCTGAGACAGTTACCATGCATACTACTTCAGTTCAGCTTGCAAAGGTGATTGTTGCTCAAAATGCAACGCTTGATGCACTTGAGGATGCACCTCTAATTCTTAAAGGAATTAACAAGCTTGGCTTTATGACTACTCCACTATACGACCCTTGTGGGTTTAGCGCGTAGTTTTGACTGTAGTAATAATAATGACTGATGCTCTTCTGATCAAAAAGTTATCTTTCCTGTTGATCGTGTTCCATCAAGCACTAAATCAAGTTGAAACTTTAATTGGTCAAATAGATAACTGGAAAAATGACGTGTGCCACAGCATTTGCTGCTGACACAACAATTGTGCACCTGTCGGTTTTTAAAACCATTCATCACATCTGTCAGACACTGCAACATCATGGAATCTTGGTACAAAGAGTTCAACGCTTGCCCAAGCTTTGGACGACGACCTACTTACACTAGTGGCAGGTCCCACTGTGATCCCGCCTCCTCCTGCTTCAACTCATCTGACTGCAGTATATAAGCCACCTCTCTGGGCCTATGCTGCACTTCCTACAAGAGTGATGGACTGAACACATCGATTCCAGGTTGAGGGACTGATTACCTCAAACTCCTCTCCTTACCCATTTCTACTTTGTATTGGACTGATGAAGCCACTGTGTGGCGAAACGTTTCTTCAATAAAGATTCCCATGTGTTGCATAAGTGTCTCAGTTCTTCAACTTGTCAGTTTTTAAAACCATTCATCACAGTTGTGCAGTGAACGATGTGTGGCAGTGAATCGACGAATTAGGAAAAATAAGCTGTCTATGCCCGGTGAAAACAGTAATAATAACTTTGTACAAACATGCATCATACTGAAATAAAGGAGTATAACTGAGTGTACGTGCCAAAAGCTCCTTTATACGCCTACGAGGCGGGACTGGCCACTCAGGAAGAGAGGTCAGTACTGTTCTTTAAGTTAAATTCATGGTAAAAATCGTATTGGAATTTCTGGTTATTTTTCACAGTTGCTCGGATTCGAGAGCTATTTGAACTTGCTTTGTAATGCTGATTTTTTTTTTTTTTTTTTTTTTGTAAATCATTCTAATCTCAAAAAAAAAAAAAAGCTTAATGAACTCTTAGATAAATGCAACAATGTATCAAGGTAGCATTCAGAAGATTTGTAAGTTTATTTAGGCACAGGTACACACAACTACAATCATCATATATTTGTAACTTAACTAGGATAACCCAAAAAAGTTAGTGACTTATTTCCATTGGAGTCCAATGGAAATATTCACTTTTCTCCAGATAATTTTGCGCAAGCACATTTCATCAGTGGACTGGAGACGTTAAAGACTTCGTCCACAACTCTGCAGATTCTAATAACGTTTCTTTTTTGTGTAGCATCATGGACTCACATCTACTGTCTATAATGACATAAATAAAATGATCACTAGAAGATCATGTAAATAAAACTGAGAAATCCAAAATATTATATTTGTAAACTATAAAATAGCGTTCAAATGTGTATTTGGAGCATTGTTAAAAACTTTTTGACAACATACGTCAGGCAAACTGAATATTATGGACAAAACGTGGATACGGTAAGAAAAGTTCCATAGAAGAGTTACAAGATTGTTGACACTGATGAATAATGTTAACCTTTCATGACAACGTTAATGATGACCAGAGACGACGTGCTAACCAGTAAAGTTTATTAATAAAACACGACCCCTCAGGAAGGTTCCTTGATGTTGGTGAGGGGCTCTTGATTTAGGGAATTTGGGATCTGTGCTCCAGTTCCCCGAATTAAGCCTGAATACCTTCCACATCCCCCCAGGCGCTGTATAATCCTCCGGGTTTAGCGCTTCCCCTTGATTATAATAATAATAATAATAAAACACGAAAGAATAAATTCTTCCTTGTCCTTACAACACAAGACGACGTAGTAGTTGTAATTGAGAAATAGTGGAGGTGACGAGATGCAAGGAAAAAATCATAAAATAGTGGTTGACCATGGAATTAAAGGGGAAGTGGTTAGACCTACAACCTACTCGTTGTAGGTCTAACTTTCCTAGAGCTACAAATAGGTAATCTCTCTTTACCTAAGACTAATCTTTCTTTGCAGATTACGCATCTTACGGGTTCACTTCATACAATGGTCGTCTAGTCTTCCACTTACCGGGTGTTTTGCTCCCTTATTCATGGGACTTTGCATACCTCTTCTGTTCCGGGATCTTCGCCAAGATGTTCACACCTCGTGATGCCTCAGAATGGAACTGGATGCAACAGAAAGCAAGTGGCGTCCTTGACAGCTATGTATTCTTCCCCATCAATGACAAGAGCCAGGAGGGCGTCCCCGTCTGGAATAATGGCACAGGTGAGACCAGTGTGATAATTGAGTTTTCTTATGGAGGTAGGTACTCTCTATTCTGTAGTGTGTATATATAATTACTTGCTTGTAATTGCCAATTGAGTCTTACTGTAACTAACTGTGCTAGGCTTTAAATACGACATTACAAGGACCCCAGTGGAAATATGTCACTTCGTCTGACTTTTTAGGGGGTTAGCCTAGGTCATTGACACAAGTACAGTTAACATAGTTTTGCATATGTGTTCCTGTACCTAAATAAACTTGTCTACTTTTAGCTACAGCAACAAAGCTATGCTCGTGGTGTTTCAACTTCAATCTGTTTATCATTTGTTTTTAAATTTCTAAAAATTGTAGGACTACATCCTTCTGTAATACATTTTGTTGGTCAATCATTCTATTTGTAAAGAAAAATTTCCGTTAGTACGTTGCCTTACTTTGTTTATGGTGTACTTGTATGATATGGCTGGAGTATAACTGCCTTGAAGGGGGCCGTTAGTGTACAGCAATATTCCAGTCTTGAGAGAACAAGCGTTTTGAAGAGAATCATCATGGGCTTGGCGCCCCTATTTTTGAAGGTTCTCATTATCCATCCTATCATTTTCCTAGCAGATGCGATTGATACATTATTGTGGTCTTTGAAGGTTAGATCCTCTGACATTATAACTCCCAGGTCCTTAACATTACTTTTTCGCTCTATTGTATGGTTAGAATTTGTTGTACACCTTGATACAGTTTTAATTTCCTCAAGGTTTCCATATCTGGGTAGTTGAAATTTTTCTTCGTTGAACTTTATAGTGTTCTGAGTAGTCCATTTGAAGATTTGGTTGATGTCCGCTTGGAATCTTGCGGTGTCTTTGACGGAGGTCACTGTCATCCGCTAAGGAAGACACGGAGCTATGGCTTACATCTATATATCAGATATGAGGATGAGGAATAGGACGGGAGCCAGTACTGTGCCTTGTGGAACAGAGCTTTTCACCGTATCTGCCTCAAACTTCACTCTGTTTACTATTACTCTTTGTGTTCTATTTGTCAGGAAGTTATAGATCAATCTACCAACTTACTTTGCTGTTATTCCTTTATCACGTATTTCTGGGGTATTACACCGTGGTCAAACTTGTCGAAGGTTCTGCAAAGTCTGCAATTTATCTAACCTTTACAGCAACCAGGACCTTGTCATAGTGGTCCAGTAGCTGGGACAGACAGAAGCAACCTGCTCTATACCCGTGTTGCCCTGGGTTGTGTAATTCATGGGTATCTAGGTGGTTGACAATCTTGTTTATTAGAACCCTATCAAAGAGTTTTATAATATGAGATGTTAATGCTATTGGTCTGTAGTTCTTTGCAATTGCTTTACTGCCACCTTTGTAGAGTGGGGCTATGTCTGTTGCTTTTAGTGAGTGTTGGATAACCTCTGTGTCCGTGTTTCCTCTCCATAGAATGCTGAAGGCACGTGATAGAGGATTCTTGCAGTTCTTGATGAACACGAAGTTCCATGAGTCTGGGAACAGGGCAGAATGCATGGGCATGTCATTTATTGCCTTTTCAAAATCTTGTGGTGTGGCTGGTGTAATGCTTTTTATAATAATAATAATAATAATAATAATAATAATAATAATAATAATAATAATAATCTTTATTTCTACATGTACAAGGTATACAGACCATAGCTGACATCAATGACATACTACTATATAGAAAGCCACTTGTTATGTAGAGCATTTCTCGCAAATTAGGTCAATTTTCTCCCCAGGATGCGACCCACACCAGGCTAACACCCAAGTACCCATTTTACTGGTAGGTGAACATGGACAACAAGTATCTTAAGGAAACATGTCCTAATGTTTCCACCCTTACTGGGGATCGAACCGTGGACCTCAGTGTGTGAGCTGAGTGTGCTCTCTGTACGATACTTGTCTTTCTCCTTCCAGGCTGCCTTCAGTTTTGAGTATCATATATATATATATATATATATATATATATATATATATATATATATATATATATATATATATATATATATATATATATATATATATATGTCGTGCCGAATATGTAAAACTGGCCAATTAGCAAGAACTCATTTAAAATTAAGTCCTTTCTAAAATTTTCTCTTTTACGTTTAAAGATATATTTTTTCAATAATGTTGATGTGAAAATTTATAATTTTGCACCAAAAGGAACTTAGAAAACTTACCTAACCTTATTATAAAAAAAAAATTATTTTAGCCTAACCCAACTAAATATATTTTAGATTCGTTTACAATAATTTAATACTAAACAAACACAGTGAAATATATTTTTTTTAGTTAGGTTCAGAATGATTTTGGCGAAATTATTGCATACACAAATTTTCACATGTCCTATATGGCAAGATGAGCGTTGCTATTTAAGCCAAGATCGCAAGTTCTGCCTATTCGGCACGACATATATATATATATATATATATATATATATATATATATATATATATATATATATATATATATATATATATATATATATATAATATATATATATATATATATTATATCAATCTTTCATCACCTAATCATTTGTTATCCTCATAACCTTACTCTTTCCTGTTTTCACTTTTAATTTCTTCTTTTGCATGAATTTGGTAGGGTGTGCAAAAGAAAAAATTAAAAGTGAATACGGGAAAGAGTAAGGTTATGAGGATAAAAAAAAAAATTGTGATGAAAGATGGATATCAATTGGGGGGAAGAGTATGGAGGAGGTGAACGTATTCAGATATTTTGGGGGTGGACGGGCAGCGATGGTCTATGAAAATGAGGGAATCATAGAAAGTAGGGAAAAGGGTGAGGGTGCACTAGGAGTCTGTGGAGACAAAAAACTTTTTCCTTGGAGGAAAAGGGGGGAATGTATGGAGTATGTTTCCCAAGCTCTTATAGGGTGTGAAGCATGGGTGATAAATGTTAGCGAGGAGAAGGCTGGAGGCAGTGGAGATGTCATGTTGAGGGCAAGTGGGGTGTGAATTAATGCGGGAAAATTCGTATTTTGGGAAAGTTGGAGGAGGTGCGGGATTCCCCAAAACTGTTGCCCAGAGGTGGGGGAAGGGTTGTTGGGTGGTTCGGCATGTAGGGAATGGAGCAAAACAGAATGACTTAAAGAATGTATCGTCTGTGGGGGAAGGAAGGGGGGTAGGGGGGGGGGTAGGAAAGGTTGGGGGGGGGGGTAAAAAGGGGTTTTGTGTGCGAGGGGGGCTTGGACTTCCAGCAGACTGCGTGAGCGTGTTTGATAGGGTGAATGGGGGGAAAAATGGTTTTTAATATTGACGTGCTGTTGGAGTGTGGACAAAGTAACATTTATAAAAGGGGTTCGGGGAAAGGGCAGGCCGGATTGAGTCCTGGAGAGGGGAAGTACATGCCTGCATCGAAGGAGTTAATTTGCGTTTAAAAACTGTATGTAAAAGACCCTTCCGGCAAGACAGTGTGGAGTGAAGAGGTGAAAGTTTTTCTTTTTCAGGCCACCCTGCCTTGGGGGGAATGGGCGATTTTTAATAAAAAAAAAAAATAAAATTAATATATATATTTATATTATATTTTATATATATATAATATATATATATATATTTTATATAATATTTTATTATTAATATTTTTTATTTATATATTATTATAATATATTTTATAATATATTATATATTTATTATAATGTCGTGCCAAAAGGGCGAATTGCGATCTTGGCTTAAATAGCAACGCTCTTTTGCCAAAAGGAAAGCGAAAATTTTGTGTATGAAAAATTTCCAAAAATTATTCTGAACCAAAACAAAAAAAAATATTTTTCACGTGTTTGTTTTATTAAATTATTGTAAAAAATCAAAAAAATATATTTAGTTGGGTTAGGCTAAATAAATTGCTTTGTTTTAATAAGGTTAGGTAAGTTTTTAAGATTCTTTTGGTCCCAAAATTTATAAATTTTTACATTAACATTAATGAAAAAAAATATATTTTTTAAACGTATGGGAAAAAAAAATTTTTTGAAAGGACTTAATTTTAAATGGTTTTGCTAATTGACCGTTTTACATATTGGGCCCCAGACTTATTTTATATTTTAAATATATATATATATATATATATATTATATAATATATTATTTTTTAAATATATTTATATATATATTTTATAAAATTATATTATATTAATTATATATTTATATTATTATATATATTATATATTTTTTTTTATTTATATAGAAATAAGATCACAGTAAACAGGTGATTTCGAATATGCAAAAAAAACCACTCTGAAAGAATAAAAATTCCAAGCGCTTTCGTGACTATCCATTATAAAGGAACTATGAAAGTAAAGATCCAAGGAAGCTATATAAGGGGTTGGCCAACCCTCACTATCGATCCCAAAACGGTTAACACCTGACGCGCGCCGCCCAACTGGCGGTCCTTCGCCAATCACCACAAATATTTACCAAGAAAATTTTAAAAATTTTTATTAAGACCAAAATATTCAAGGTTACTTAACACAATCCCCCTAATAGAGCTAAATGGTTCGTAGTTGGTGATATTTGTGCTTTTCCCCAAAAAATGTAGTTACCCTTTTCTGGAAAATTAAATAGCTTAGCCCATTTATAAACTTTTTTTGAGTTTGAAGAAAATAACCATTGCTTTTTCTAGTGTTTTAATTTAAGGGAAAATAATAAATTCAAATTTTAAAAATTTACAGAAAACCTACAAATAATTTCCTATGTCCACTTTTTTCCCCGATCAAGATTGAGTCAAATGTCTGTTTTCTCTCAATGTTTTGAGGCTTACGAATTTGTAGTCTGGTTCATAGATGAGGAAAAAAATCCAAAATTTATGAAATAGGTAAAGATTTAAAAAACCAAGAAATGTAATGTAAATCTTTTAAAGTTGTAGAAATACTTTTTTTCAAACCAAAAAAAAAAGGGCAAATCAACTAAAATATGTTTGGGTTTTCCTTACCCTGAAAACTTAGTTGATAGCCTTCTCTTCTTTAAAACTTTTAATATTAAAATTGTATTCAAATCTTATACAGTAAAAAAAATTTTGATAAAAAATTTCCCCCCCCAAAATGTGAGGATTGTCTTAAAATTCCTTTTTAAAATTTTTCGATAAAGTTTATTCGGTCCAAAGGTAAAAAAACTGAACTAAAATTAAACAAATAAAAATAGTTAGAACTGGACAAGATTTCCAAGCTTATTTTTTCAGTAAAAGATTTTAACATCCAATTGATTTTTAAAAAATTGGAAAGTAGTATCAAGCAAGCCATGGTTTAAGGAATTAAATTTAAACTTGTTTCTTTAAAAAACAGTTTTGACAATAATTGAAAATTTCCCTTTGGTTTTTTTACAAATTAGATCCTTTTAATTAATTTGAATTTTGGGAGAATTTAATATAATGGACAAATAATATTTTTTTAAATTTTTTTGGGTTGAATATTTTTTGGGTGAGTTTTGCAAAGGGCCTGTCCCCGTTGGGTCGGGCGCGGTAGGGGTTTAACCCTTGGGGGATCTGATAGGAGGTGTGGCCAAACCCCTTTTAAAAGCTTCCTTTGGGTGCTTTACTTTCATAGTTCCTTATATGTGAGTGTCACGAAAACGCTTGGAAATTTTTCTTTCTTTCAGGTGGTTGTTTTTTATAATATATATATATTAATATATATATATTATATATATATTATATTTTATATTTATATTATATTTATTATATTATTTACATTTAAAACATTATAAATTTTATATTAATATATATATATATTATTTTTTATTATCACCACTGGGCGATTCCCCCCAAGGAAGGGGGGCCCCAAAAAAAAAAACTCTCACCATCATTCACTCCATCACTGTCTTGCCAGAAGGGTGCTTTTTCATACAGTTTTTAAACTGCAACATAACACCCCTCCCTTATATATTTATATAAATTTTATTATATATATTTATATATATTATATATATTAAAATTTTATATTTATATTATATATATATATATATTTATATGTATATATATATAAATTTATATATTATTTTATTTTATATATATATTTTTATATATATATATTTTTTTTATATTATATTCAACAAACATTTCTCTTTTCGAAGGAGATGGATATCCCGTGGGTGGGTGGTTTTAAAGCACTGCGTACCTTGTTCCCGGTTCATGGTTCGAGTCTCCTTCGACCAGAGATTAGCGCATTCGTGACTTCTCACATTATCAAGGAACTATAGTTCCTTGATAATGATTCATATCAAGGAAAGCGCTTGAAATTTCACTATTCTTTCACATTGGTTGTTTTGCATATTCTGATATCACCTGTTTACTGTGATCTTATTGCGCGCTCACACACACACACACACACACACACAGGAGAGATAGGGGGGACATGATAACGACATACAAAATACTGAGAGGAAATGACGAGGTGGACAAAGACAGGATGTTCCAGAGATGGGACACAGCAACAAGGTTACACAGTTGGAAGTTGAAGACACAGATGAATCACAGGGATGTTAGGAAGTATTTCTTCAGCCACAGATTAGTCAGGAAGTGGAATAGTTTGGGAAGCGATGTAGTGGACGCAGGATCCATACATAGCTTTAAGCAGAGGTATGATAAAGCTCACGGTTCAGTGAGAGTGACCTAGTAGCGACCAGTGAAGAGGCGGAGCCAGAAGCTAGGACTCGACCTCTGCAACCTCAACTAGACGAGTACAACTAGGTGAGTACACACACACACACACACACACACACACACACACACACACACACACACACACACACACACACACACACACACACACACACACACACACACACACGCTAATAATAATGTTATTACTAGTACCATGAATAATAATCACAATAATAATTTTATTAACACTAATATTTGCACTGCAGTTGTGGGAAACAACGCCATCCTGAACTGGGGCTCCGGTTCACCCAGTGCCACCATGAACATACTAAGCAGATGTGTATCCATGAAGACTGCGGTCTACATACCTCTCGTCATCAACACACCTGCATATATCTTCTTCACTGTGTGTGCCTTGCCAACCCCAAGTAATTCAATAATATGTGAGGCATAACTTCGTACTGACACCTGTCTGTAGTTACTATCATGAGTGAGTACTGCCTTGGTTAATGTGCATTACTATGTATTGGTACCTAGTATTACACTATGTACTGACACCTGTCTGTAGTTACTACCTTGAGTGAGTACTGCCTTGGTTAATGTGCATTACTATGTATTGGTACCTAGTATTACACTATGTACTGACACCTGTCTGTAGTTACTATCATGAGTGAGTACTGCCTTGGTTAATGTGCATTACTATGTATTGGTAACTAGTATTACACTATGTATCATAATCTTGTATTAGTAACAAGTATTACGCTATGTATCATAATCTTGTAATAGTAACTAGCATTACACTATGTATCATTACTATGTATTAGTAACTAGTATATTACATTATGTATCATTATCTTGTATTAGACTATATATTATTACCTAGTATTACACTATATCATTAACTAGTGTTACACTGTACAACTAGTATTACACTATGTATCAACTAGTATTACACCATATATCAGTACTAATATTATGCTATGTATCAACTAGTATTACACTATGTATCAACTAGTATTACACTATGTATCAACTAGTATTACACTATGTATCAGTACTAATATTATGCTATGTATCAACTAGTATTACACTATGTATCAACTAGTATTACACTATGTATCAACTAGTATTACACTATGTATTACAGTACAATATTATCTATGTATCAACTAGTATTACACTATGTATCAACTAGTATTACACTATGTATCAACTAGTATTACACTATGTATCAGTGACTAATTATGCATGTATCAACAGTATACACTATGAGTATCAACTAGTATTACATTATGTATCAACTAGTATTACACCTAAGTATCAGTACAATAATTATGCATATGTATCAACTAGTATTACACTATGTATCAACTAGTATTACACTATAGTATCAACTAGATAATTACACTAGTATCAGTACTAATAATATGCTATGTATCAACTAGTATTATACCGTGTATCAACTAGTATTACACTATGTATCAACTAGTATTACACTATGTATCATAACTAGATAATGCCAGTATCAACTAGTATTACACTATGTATCAACTAGTATTACACTATGTATCAACTAGTATTACACTATGTATCAACTAGTATTACACTATGTATCATAAACTAATATATGCTATGTATCAACTATAATTACACTATGTAATCAACTAGTATTACACTATGTATCAGTACTAATATTATGCTATGTATCAACTAGTATTACACATGTTACAACTAGTATTACACTATGTATCAACTAGTATTACACTATGTATCAACTAATATTACACTATGTATCAACTAATATTACACTATGTATCAAATAATATTACACTATGAATCAACTAATATTACACTAAGTATCAACTAGTATTACACTATGTATCAGTACTAATATTATGCTATGTATCAACTAGTATTACACTATGTATCAACTAGTATTACACTATGTATCAGTACTAATATTATGCTATGTATCAACTAGTATTACACTATGATCAACTAGTATACACATGAAATCAACTAGTATTACACTATGAACAACTAGTATTACATATGTATCAACTAGTATTACACATGTATCAACTAGTATTACACTATGTACAATTAAGTATTACACTATGTAGCAACTAGTATTACACTATGTATCAACTAAGTATATACACTATGTAGTCAACTAGTATACTCTATGTATCAACTAGTATTACACCATGTATCAACTAGTATTACACTATGTATCAACTAGTATTACACTATGTATCAACTAGTATTACACTATGTAGCAACTAGTATTACACTATGTATCAGTACTAATATTATGCTATGTATCAACTAGTAATTACAACCTATGTATCAACTAGTATTACACTATGTATCAGTACTAATATTATGCTATGTATCAACTAGTATTACACTATGTTATCAACTAGTAATTAACACTATGTATCATACTAATAACAATGTATCAACTAGTATTACACTATATATCAACTAGTATTACACTATGTATCAACTAGTATTACACTATGTAGCAACTAGTATTACACTATGTATCAACTAGTATTACACTATGTATCAACTAGTATCACACCATGTATCAACTAGTATTACACTATGTATCAACTAGTATTACACTATGTATCAGTACTAATATTATGCTATGTATCAACTAGTATTACACTATGTATCAACTAGAAATTACACCATGTATCAACTAGTATTACACTATGTACAACTAGTATTACCTAACTATGTATCAACTAGTATTACACTATGTATCAACTAGTATTCACACATGTATCAACTTGTATTACACTATGTATCAACTAGTATTACACTATGTATCAACTAGTATTACACTATGTATCAGTACTAATATTATGCTATGTATCAACTAGTATTACACTATGTATCAACTAGTATCACACCATGTATCAACTAGTATTACACTATGTATCAACTAGTATTACACTATGTATCAACTAGTATTACACTATGTATCAACTAGTATTACACTATGTATCAGTACTAATATTATGCTATGTATCAACTAGTATTACACTATGTATCAACTAGTATTACACAATGTATCAGTACTAATATTATGCTATGTATCAACTAGTATCACACCATGTATCAACTAGTATTACACTATGTATCAACTAGTATTACACTCATGTATCAACTAGTATTACACTAATGTATCAACTAGTATTACACTATGTATCAGTACTAATATTATGCTATGTATCAACTAGTATTACACTATGTATCAACTAGTATTACACTATGTATCAACTAGTATTACACTATGTATCAACTAGTATTACACTATGTATCAACTAGTATTACACTATGTATCAACTAGTATTACACTATGTATCATACTAATATTATGCTATGTATCAACTAGTATTACACTATGTATCAACTAGTATTACACTATGTATCAGTACTAATATTATGCTATGTATCAACTAGTATTACACTATGTATCAACTAGTATTACACTATGTATCAACTAAAGTTATTTACACTATGTATCAACTAGTATTACACTATGTATCAGTACTAATATTATGCTATGTATCAACTAGTATTACACTATGTATCAACTAGTATTACACTATGTATCAACTAGTATATTACACTATGTATCAGTACAAATATTAACTATGTATCAACTAGTATTACACCATGTATCAACTAGTATTACACTATGTATCAACTAGTATTACACTATGTATCAGTACTAATATTATGCTATGTATCAACTAGTATTACACTATGTATCAACTAGTATTACACTATGTATCAACTAGTATTACACTATGTATCAACTAGTATTACACTATGTATCAGTACTAATATTATGCTATGTATCAACTAGTATTACACATGTATCAACTAGTATTACACTATGTATCAACAAAGTATTAACTATGTATCAACTAGTATTACACTATGTATCAACTAGTATTACACTATGTATCAACTAGTATTACACTATGTATCAACTAATATTACACTATGTATCAACTAATATTACACTATGTATCAACTAATATTACACTATGAATCAACTAATATTACACTATGTATCAACTAGTATTACACTATGTATCAGTACTAATATTATGCTATGTATCAACTAGTATTACACTATGTATCAACTAGTATTACACTATGTATCAGTACTAATATTATGCTATGTATCAACTAGTATTACACTATGTATCAACTAGTATCACACCATGTATCAACTAGTATTACACTATGTAGCAACTAGTATTACACTATGTATCAACTAGTATTACACACATAGATATCAACTAGTATTACACTATGTAGCAATTAGTATTACACTATGTAGCAACTAGTATTACACTATGTATCAACTAGTATTACACTATGTAGCAACTAGTATTACTCTATGTATCAACTAGTATTACACCATGTATCAACTAGTATTACACTATGTAGCAATTAGTATTACACTATGTAGCAACTAGTATTACACTATGTACAACTATATTACACTATGTATCAACAAATATTACCTATGTATCAACTAGTAATTACACTATGTATCAACTAGTATTACACTATGTATCCAGTACTAATATTATGACTATGTATCAACTAGTATTACACAAATGTATCAACTAGTAAATTACACTATGTATCATTACTAATATTATGCTATGTATCAACTAGTATTACACTATGTATCAACTAGTATTACACTATGTATCAACTAGTATTACACTATGTAGCAACTAGTATTACACTATGTATCAACTAGTATTACACTATGTATCAACTAGTATCACACCATGTATCAACTAGTATTACACTATGTATCAACTAGTATTACACTATGTATCAGTACTAATATTATGCTATGTATCAACTAGTATTACACTATGTATCAACTAGTATCACACCATGTATCAACTAGTATTACACTATGTAGCAACTAGTATTACACTATGTATCAACTAGTATTACACTATGTATCAACTAGTATCACACCATGTATCAACTAGTATTACACTATGTATCAACTAGTATTACACTATGTATCAACTAGTATTACACTATGTATCAGTACTAATATTATGCTATGTATCAACTATGTATTACACTATGTATCAACTAGTATCACAATCCATGTATCAACTAGTATTACACTATGTACAACTAGTATTATACACTAATGTATCAACTAGTATTACACTATGTATCAACTAGTATTACACTATGTATCAGTACTAATATTATCTATGTATCAACTAGTATTACACCTATGTATCAACTAGTATTACACAATGTATCAGTACTAATATTATGCTATGTATCAACTAGTATCACACCATGTATCAACTAGTATTACACTATGTATCAACTAGTATTACACCATGTATCAACTAGTATTACACTATGTATCAACTAGTA